TAGGAGTAATGATAGGATCTTTAGTGAAATGTCGTTAATTAATATGCAAATTTGACAATTTCAGAATTACATGGAAACATAGCTTATCAAAATATACTCCCAGAAGGAAATTTGTTTATATCTTCAAAGAAAAAGATGGATAAAAATTCAAGCAAAAATCAAAATGTTACAGTCATGGACGGCTTGTTGCAGGTTTTAATTTCAGTGCGTGCGTGAAGCGCCCTTTCGGTCAAAGTTCATCCTGACAGCCAATCAAAACATGCTAAAATGTTATAACACAAATGGTAATAGCGTTTAATCAACAGTTTGGAGGATTAAATGGTGTCTTGAGTGTAACAGCCATCTGGTAGATATATGACATACTCTTTCACTACAACAAACGCTTATCAAATTATACATGACGAATGTTTCTTTCGCTAAATCAATGTATTTTATTTTCATTGCTACAACAAAAAACTTCCTTTCGTATCTATGAATATTCATGACACTGCTTTTATTTCCAAACGTAACAAATACAAAAACATGGATGATGGTATTAAGATGAAATATTCCGTGGAATCTGACGCTGCATACGTAACCACAAAGAAGGAAAACTTGATAAAAATAAATAATTGATTTATCCTCTCTGTCGTCAGCAATAAAAATGTTAACATGCATATAAATTCAACAGATCTAAATATAAAAACGAATGAAAAATGGAAGGAAGAAGAAATAAAAAAATAAATGAAAAAAAAAATGAATTGGAAATGTCATTATTCATCCATTTGTTACCCCCTGGTGCCGTCCCCCTCCCCCAATCACACACCCCTCTCCCCCTCCCCAATCACACCCCCCTTTCCCCTTCCCCAATCACACACACCCTCTCCCCCTCCCCAATCACATCCCCTCTCCCCCCTCTTCCCCAATCACAACCTCCTTGCCCCAATCACAGCCCCTCCCACACAAACACAGACACACCCCCTTACACCACACCCCAACCTCAACACCCAAATATCAATAGCAAAGAGTGAAACAAGTGTCGTATTCCAAAGCATTCTGTATGAAACAGATAATTAATTGACCTTTAACCTTTACGTGAACCATCCTTGTTCGGATTAAAATTGCTCCAGTATAATTCAGATCAACAGTTCACATGGAAACAAGATTTCCACATCTGTGGTCCGGATGCATACCACCTTCCCTTGTTCAGATTAAAACTACTCCAATATGATTCAACGCATTTGTTGATACGGAAAAAGAGTTTCAACTTCCGTTTGTTGGATTTAAAAGTTGCAGTATAATTCTAGCTCCTAGATGACACAGAAATTATCTTATGCTGTTCGGATTAAAATGCACTCAAACAATTCAAGTCCCAGCTTAACAGAGAAACGGAATTTTACTACCATTGTTCGGATATAAAGCTCCAGTATAAATTAATTTCCTACTTTACTGCTTTCATGTGGAAACGGAATTTAAACCACAGCTGTTCGGATTCAAAATTCTCCAGTATAAATGTGGCCCTTCGTTGACACAGAAATTACATTTCACGTTATGCTGTTCGGATTCGGAAAAAGAGTTTCAACTTCTGTTGTTCGGATTCAAAAGTTGCAGTATAATTCTAGCTCCTAGATGACACAGAAATTACATTTCACGTTCTAATAAGTCATGACCTTTCCTGACCGAGATTTCCAGTACCATTGTTCGGATTAAAAAGTTCTCTATCCCGGCTGACACGGAAATTGCAGCTCACCTTATGTTGTTCAGGTTAAAAAATTCTACAATAAATCAGACTTGCTCGACGAGGAAACAGAATTTCAATCGTGATAATCAGGAAAGTTGCCAGTATCTGTATCTGACAAACGAGTCATGACCACCTTACACCATGTAAACTGAGGATTCACATCTATCGATTCAAGGTCTACAAGGTTTCATTAATAACCTGTATTTATAACCAATAGACATTTGTGTATACGGTATCGAGATATGATACCAGCGTGCTAGAATAAAGATAAACATGAACTCAACTGTTAGTGATATAACACGGCAGGGACAATGTATGTAATCTAATCACGTCATTAGCCGACAGAATAGGTTTGACCATGACAGGAGACGGACACTGTATATAACAGGGACAGATATTATAGAATAAGTTTGACCATGACAGGAGATAGACACGATATATAACAGACAGATATTATAGAATAAGTTTGACCATGACAGGAGATGGACACTGTGTATAACAGACAGATATTATAGAATAAGTTTGACCATGACAGGAGATAGACACGATATATAACAGACAGATATTATAGAATAAGTTTGACCATGACAGGAGATGGACATGGTATATAACAGACAGATATTATAGAATAAGTTTGACCATGACAGGAGATGGACACGGTATATAACAGACAGATATTATAGAATAAGTTTGACCATGACAGGAGATGGACACGCTATATAACAGGGACAGATATTATAGAATAAGTTTGACCATGACAGGAGATGGACACTGTATATAACAGGGACAGATATTATAGAATAAGTAGTTGACCATTGACCATGACAGGAGATGGACACTGTATATAACAGGGACAGATATTATAGAATAAGTTTGACCATGACAGGAGATGGACACGGTATATAACAGACAGATATTATAGAATAAGTTTGACCATGACAGGAGATGGACACTGTATATAACAGACAGATATTATAGAATAAGTTTGACCATGACAGGAGATGGACACGGTATATAACAGACAGATATTATAGAATAAGTTTGACCATGACAGGAGATGGACACGGTATATAACAGGGACAGATATTATAGAATAAGTTTGACCATGACAGGAGATGGACACGGTATATAACAGGGACAGATATTATAGAATAAGTTTGACCATGACAGGAGATGGACACGGTATATAACAGGGACAGATATTATAGAATAAGTTTGACCATGACAGGAGATGGACACGGTATATAACAGACAGATATTATAGAATAAGTTTGACCATGACAGGAGATGGACACGGTATATAACAGACAGATATTATATAATAAGTTTGACCAGGAGAGGAGATTGACATGGTATATAACAGACAGATATTATAGAATAAGTTTGACCATGACAGGAGATGGACACTGTATATAACAGGGACAGATATTATAGAATAAGTTTGACTATGACAGGAGATGGACACGGTATATAACAGGGACAGATATTATAGAATAAGTTTGACCATGACAGGAGATGGACACGCTATATAACAGGGACAGATATTATAGAATAAGTTTGACCATGACAGGAGATGGACACGCTATATAACAGGGACAGATATTATAGAATAAGTTTGACCATGACAGGAGATGGACACGCTATATAACAGGGACAGATATTATAGAATAAGTTTGACCATGACAGGAGATGGACACGGTATATAACAGGGACAGATATTATAGAATAAGTTTGACCATGACAGGAGATGGACACGGTATATAACAGGGACAGATATTATAGAATAAGTTTGACCATGACAGGAGATGGACACTGTATATATAGACACCATGACAGGAGATGGACACGGACAGATATTATATAACAGAATAAGTTTTGACCATGGACACTGTATATAACAGACAGATATTATAGAATAAGTTTGACCATGACAGGAGATGGACACGGTATATAACAGGGACAGATATTATAGAATAAGTTTGACCATGACAGGAGATGGACACGGTATATAACAGGGACAGATATTATAGAATAAGTTTGACCATGACAGGAGATGGACACGGTATATAACAGGGACAGATATTATAGAATAAGTTTGACCATGACAGGAGATGGACACGGTATATAACAGGGACAGATATTATAGAATAAGTTTGACCATGACAGGAGATGGACACGGTATATAACAGGGACAGATATTATAGAATAAGTTTGACCATGACAGGAGATGGACACGGTATATAACAGGGACAGATATTATAGAATAAGTTTGACCATGACAGGAGATAGACACTGTATATAACAGACAGATATTATAGAATAAGTTTGACCATGACAGGAGATGGACACGGTATATAACAGGGACAGATATTATAGAATAAGTTTGACCATGACAGGAGATGGACACGCTATATAACAGGGACAGATATTATAGAATAAGTTTGACCATGACAGGAGATGGACACGGTATATAACAGACAGATATTATAGAATAAGTTTGACCATGACAGGAGATGGACACGGTATATAACAGACAGATATTATAGAATAAGTTTGACCATGACAGGAGATGGACACGCTATATAACAGGGACAGATATTATAGAATAAGTTTGACCATGACAGGAGATGGACACGCTATATAACAGGGACAGATATTATAGAATAAGTTTGACCATGACAGGAGATGGACACTGTATGAATTACAACAACACATATGATAACATCGAGTTTGATCGATATTTTGGCCTGTCGGCTAATTACCGGGAAATCTAAAGATTCACACTGTTTTATGTCTCTCACGCAATGTTGTCACAGTGTGTGGAGTGTGTGTGCCGTACAGCAAACAGGTGCTCTTCTCAGACAGCGAGAGAAACAACGAGAAACAACGCCATATAAAAACTGGTTGTCGATATGTATGCATATATTATTGATAAAGATGCTTCAGTATATCTGTATAACATACTCTTCAATTATACAGGTGTGAAATTTCACCTGAACTATTTACACGTATCAACTCGCATGTCAATTGATTAATAAAAACAGGTTTTACATATGACTCCCACATGTCCGGTGTTTCATGTGATTGTCAAAAATGTCGAATGACAACCAATTAATATTAATGAAAATTTGTCGCCGTAATTTTTCCTTTCAGAAACAAAAAAAATATTTAAATACGAAGTAAATATTAAAATAGATTACTCGCAACGTTTATCAATTTCCTAAAACTATCTGAAAATACGTAGAATCGTAATAAAATATGATAAAAATGTATGACCTACCTTTATGAAGTCCCGTGAAGCGGTCTTTCAGCACCGTTAACTCGTAAATTTGTCCGTATTCCTCAAAAACAGGTCTCAAGTCTTTGTCCTCAAGATTTCGTGGAATTTGACCCACAAATAACTTCACCGCATCATGGTCTTTCATTGGAATGCTGGCAGATTGCTGTTGATGAGCAAGTTGCGAGCCATTGTGCAAAGAATGAATATCCTGAAGCATTCCGTTCGACAAGGTAGCCATTTACCGTAATGTCAAGATATAACAGCGAAAAGTGACGGTTGATGAGGCTGTATGAAGTAACTAGAACACACGTTGATTACACCAGGCAGGCTCCACACACGAACACACACACAGTAGAAAGATTCTAATGTTGACAGAGAAACCGATCAAAGTGGAATCACTGAAATTCTCCCGCCGTATGCCAAGGAAATACTAACAGATACTGTGTAATTAAATGGATTTCATAGGTTGGTGAGATACAATAGTACGCGCGTGCGTTCTTACACACTTAATACATATATTGACACAAGTGCACACGTAGGGAAATATATCTCCAGGATGAATACAATGCTTTTAAAGTGGTAGAGATCACAGCTGATTTAAAGACGAGACATATGTGTACTCCGCACGACTGCGCTACAGTGAAAATTCCACTCCGCAATTCAAGAGAATGGTTAGCGAGTCTTTAACAGCAGATATATACAGGAATATCGACTAGAATTGTTAAGTGCCAGGCTGGTCATTTACTGTTCTTAGATAGAGGAGTAGGAGGCAAATTTGGTGCAGTGTTGTAAGTCAAGCGCACGTGGAACGCTATTGAATCTCACAGGTCTATTACCTTACACAAACGCGCGTGTTAAATGAGCGGGAAAAGACCTGCACGTGCACTACTTCTACTGTTGTGTTGACAACGTTTATGACGACACAACAGGTCAATATAGTCGATAAACCAGAGATTACACTTGTAGGATTCAAGAATACGAGCTATTTCCAATGTACCGTAAACATAACAATAAACAGGCGAATGTAAGCGATCGATATAAGCACATACGTTTTATGACAATGGAGAGAGAAAGCCGGCTTTCTTGCTGCAATTGTGATGATATCAGTTCTACATTAATTGATAAGACAAAAACGTTTCTGTCAAGCTGGATGTATCTTTGAAAACAAAACGATGTTGACTTAAATTCTTTCTTTGTATTTTTATAGTCATGAAAATAAAAATAAATATGAACTTACAACAAACAACGGCTACACACTATACCAGTCTAGACAACGAAACAACAGGGACTATCTCCGTCGATGTATTTGTAAAAACAGTGTCACTGCAGATTACTCGTGTCTAACGGATATACACGCCGTGCAACGTCGTGAAAAACCCCGACGCATCTTATTTACATAGATAACACAACTTCCCAGAATGCAACAGTATGCTCAACCATTTTTACAATATAATCAATGGCGTGACTTTGGGTTCCACACTAGCCACGAGACACGTGAAGAAACCTCCGGCATTGCATTACAATATCGTTAAGAGTAAGACGATCAATATTCTCCGCTATAGAATGGCGCTCGGTGCTGAAGCTGGAAGTCTGCCACTGCGATCATAGAGCGGATTTCGCGCGGGAAATCGGCTCAAAAGGGTATTTAGTTAGGGTAACGACAAGGGATTTAGGGGTTGTTGTCATGTTTACCTAGTCACATAGGTTAAATAAAACAATTGAATGTTTGATTAAAAATACTGATGTATTTCCCACTTTTCATCCAAATATTAACATTGTTTGGTTTACAATTCTTGACTTTGAAAAAAAAGTCCCTGTATTCATTCCTTATGTTTCAATCACTTGCAATTTCTGAAACAAGCGAATGACGATCTCCAGATACTATTAGGATTAGTGTAACCTTAGGTTATTGTGGCATGAAACAGGATTGTTTTGACAAGAGTTCGGTATCATGACATGTTTGTGGTAATGATTGATTTTCTGTAACATATTTTTTTACCCTAGGAACAGTCTGACCCTGATAATTACAAAGTATGGGGATCATGGCTATCCCTTGAACGTTGAAATATTCGCCGATAGATTTCAAAACGCGGGAGCATAGTATCACTGAAGATTCCTAGAAGGACGAAATAGCTGTATGATGTAGCATCACTGACGAGTCCTAGAAGGACGGAATAGCTGTATGATGTAGCATCACTGACGAGTCCTAGAAGGACGGAACAGCTGTATGATGTAGCATCACTGACGAGTCCTAGAAGGACGGAATAGTTGTATGATGTAGCATCACTGACGAGTCCTAGAAGGACGGAATAGCTGTATGATGTAGCATCACTGACGAGTCCTAGAAGGACGGAGCAGCTGTATGATGTAGCATCACTGACGAGTCATAGAAGGACGGAATAGCTGTATGATGTAGCATCACTGACGAGTCCTAGAAGGACGGAACAGCTGTATGATGTAGCATCACTGACGAGTCCTAGAAGGACGGAATAGCTGTATGATGTAGCATCACTGACGAGTCCTAGAAGGACGGAATAGCTGTATGATGTAGCATCACTGACGAGTCATAGAAGGACGAAACAGCTGTATGATGCAGCATCACTGACGAGTCATAGAAGGACGAAACAGCTGTATGATGCAGCATCACTGACGAGTCCTAGAAGGACGGAATAGCTGTATGATGTAGCATCACTGACGAGTCCTAGAAGGACGGAATAGCTGTATGATGTAGCATCACTGACGAGTCCTAGAAGGACGGAATAGCTGTATGATGTAGCATCACTGACGAGTCATAGAAGGACGAAACAGCTGTATGATGCAGCATCACTGACGAGTCCTAGAAGGACGAAACAGCTGTATGATGTAGTATCACTGACGAGTCCTAGAAGGACGGAACAACTTTATTATCAAATTTGTTTTGTTCCATTTTATCCAAATCTTAATGTGTGTGTAAAATATTCAAGATTCCATGTGGTAGTCACTGCTGGTGAACGTTTTGTCCCTGTGGTTTACAGAAACCTGCATGCTACATTTTATTTCATTCAAATAGTAACAAATGCACATTGTACTTTGCGTTCTTCTAAAAGGACGAAACAGTAGTATGATGTTTCATCACTGACGAGTCCTAGAAGGACGAAACAGTTGTATGATGTCACATCACTGACGAGTAACAGAAGGACGAAACAGCTGTGCGATGTTTCATCACTGACGAGTCCTAGAAGGACGAAACAGCTGTATTATGTTATATCATTGACGAGTAATAGAAGGACGAAAAAGTTCTATGGTGTTTCATCACTGACGAGTAACAGAAGGATGAAACATCTATTTGATGTAACATCACTGACGATCCCAGAAGGACGAAAAAGCTGTATGAGGTAGCATCACTGACGAGTCCTAGAAGGACGAAACAGCTGTATTATGTTATATCATTGACGAGTAATAGAAGGACGAAAAAGCTGTATGGTGTTTCATCACTGACGAGTAACAGAAGGACGAAACATCTATTTGATGTAACATCACTGACGATCCCAGAAGGACGAAAAAGCTGTATGAGGTAGCATCACTGACGAGTCCTAGAAGGACGAAACAGCTGTATGATGTAGTATCACGTACGAGTCCTGGAACGACGAAACAGCTGTATAATGTAGCATTATTAACGAGTCCTTGAAGGACGAAACAGCTGTCTAATGTAGCATTACTAAGGAGTAACAGAAGGACGAAACTGCTGTATGGTGTAGCATCACTGACGAGTCCTAGAAGGACGAAACACCTGTATGGTGTTTCATCACTGACGAGTCCTAGAAGGACGAAACAGCTGTACGATGTTTTGTTACTGACTAGTCCTAGAATGACGAAACAGCTGCATGGTGTTTCATCACTGACGAGTCCTAGAAGGACGAAACAATTATACGAGAAATGCAAACATCTATAAATTGTAATTATCTTAACAATACACATGTATTGTATATGTGTGAAGTAATTATCTACACAGTACACATGTACTGTATATGTGTGAGGTAATTATTTGCACAGTACACATGTACTGTATATGTGTGAAGTAATTATTTACACAGTACACATGTATTGTATATGTGTGAAGTACCTACACAGTACATATGTACTGCATATGTGTGAAGTAATTATCTACACAGTACACATATACTGTATATGTGTGTAGTAGTTATCTACACGGTACACGTATACTGTATATGTGTGAAGTAATTATCTGCACAATACACATGTACTGTATATGTGTGAAGTAATTATCTACACGGTACACATGTACTGTATATGTGTGAAGTAATTATCTACACAATACACATGTACTGTATATGTGTGTAGTAGTTATCTACACGGTACACATATACTGTATATGTGTGAAGTAATTATCTACACAGTACACATGTATTGTATATGTGTGAAGTAATTATCTACACAGTACACATGTATTGTATATGTGTGAAGTAATTATCTACACAGTACACATGTATTGTATATGTGTGAAGTAATTATCTACACAGTACACATGTACTGTATATGTGTGTAGTAGTTATCTACACGGTACACATATACTGTATATGTGTGAAGTACCTACACAGTACATATGTACTGCATATGTGTGAAGTAATTATCTACACAGTACACATGTACTGTATATGTGTGAAGTAATTATCTACACAGTACACATGTACTGTATATGTGTGAAGTAATTATCTACACAGTACACATGTACTGTATATGTGTGAAGTAATTATCTACACAGTACACATGTACTGTATATGTGTGTAGTAATTATCTACACAGTACACATGTACTGTATATGTGTGTAGTAATTATCTGCACAGTACACATGTACTGTATATGTGTGAAGTACCTACACAGTACACATGGACTGTATATGTGTGAAGTAATTATCTACACAGTACACATGTACTGTATATGTGTGAAGTAATTATCTACACAGTACACATGTACTGTATATGTGTGAAGTAATTATCTACACAGTACACATGTACTGTATATGTGTGAAGTAATTATCTACACAGTACACATGTACTGTATATGTGTGAAGTACCTACACAGTACACATGTACTGTATATGTGTGAAGTAATTATCTGCACATATGTGACCGTCTAGTCCTCTACCTCTTGATCACGGGTTAAAGGTGGTTACTTCTATTTTCCTCCATCACCGATACCCGGCACGTCCTTAGATGATTAATAGGGCCAAAAACAACA